ACGACAATAAAATAATTTTCTTTACGATACATTTATATATTAATAATTGGTGTAACTTCTATTGAAAATCTTTACTTAATATTTATTATTACTTTTAGAAAATACTGAAATTAATCGATATTTTATCAACCAATATTTTACCAATCGGTACTTTTAAAAAGTACCGAAACTGATCAGTATTTTACCAAAAATTTCGGTTCAGTATTTAACCTTAAAAATTAATATCGATATCAAAACCGATCGGAACCCTAGTCCTATCTTTTTAGTTCTTTGCAACTTGATAATATGGCTTTTGTTATAAATATTAAAATACTTGAAATTGTTTATCATTATAGTTATTATTGTTGTTCTTGTTATTATTATTATTATTGTTATTGTTATTATTATTTTATTGTTATTGTTGTTATTATTGTTGTTGGATTGATAAACTTGTAATAGTTTAAAAAAGATCATGATAGTTATCAATAGTTTATTAGTATTAAATAAAAACTTTATTAATATAAAAGTGGAGCTGATAACTCTAAAGATAATTAAAGAAAAAATACAATCATTAAATATATTTTTTCAATATAAATAAATAGAATAAAAATATATAAAGAATATTATATATATAATCTTAATGATTTTTCCAGAAAATTATATATATAATTAATGAAATAATAAAGAAAAAAATAAGATAAGATAATAAATAAAATCCAATATTAAACAAATATATTAATAATATTCTATAATTCTTTTATATCAAACAATAATTATTTTTTTTCACCTAATCAAGCCATATGCTCAAGTTTATTAATTTCAATTTGTAATTGAGTTACCCTAGTACAATTACAGTAAGTATAAGAAAGATTTGAAATTTTGATTCATTGTACAAAAAATATAATGATGGCTCAATTCTGAATTAAAATAAACAAATTTTTTTTTTGTGACGTCACATGAACAAACACATATATATAGCCACTGACTGCATTTGAACCATAAGTATCATTTTGCACTAGTACTGACTTGCCGGAAATGGATCTTGCTGCACAAAGGTTACTTGTAAGTTATTTATGGGACAATGGAATCAAAAAACCTGCTAAAATCATATATATGACAGGTTTTCCAAAGTTCACTGTATATAATCATTTAAACCAACTTAAAGAAAGTAGTAATCTTATTATACGTCCTATATCCAGAAGGTCCAGAAAGCTTGATGCAAAAGAGTGTCGTCACATAGACAGGTTTGTTCAACTCAATAATGTGATCATAACCAAAGAAGTAATTGTAAAACTTACCCATAATAATCCTACCATAAATGTGTTAGTTCACCGGATTCAAGAAGTTCTTCAAAAAGATCTTCAGTATTTAGTTCGCTAACCTCTTCAAGTTCCCCTTCTTCAACCTCGTCACATCATCGTCCATTTGAAATGGGCTCAGAATCACATTGGAGATGACTGGTCCAAAACAATTTTTTCAGACGAGACAATACTCCAAATATTCAGAAACACTTAACAAGAGATACCACTGTGGAGATTCGTGCCCATATCGCAGTATGGTTAAACACCTGTACAAAGTTTATGCATAGGGCGCATTTTCTACAGAAGGCACAATTGCATTAATTCTATTCACAGAAAACTTAAATGCTCAAAAATACTGTAATATTCTCGAAACTTACCTCTTCCTTAACATTTCTTATGATTATAGTTGGTTTTTTCAACAGGATAATTCCTGGATCTATACAGCTTATGCCACAAGTTGTTTCCTCGAAACCCGTTACCTCAATGTTCTTGATTGGTCCACATATTCTCCTGACTTGAATCTGATAGAGAATTTGTGGGATATATTAAAAAAAAGGTTAAAAAGAACATTAATAAAATGTTAAATAAAAAAAAAAATTACAGTAAACGAATTTCAGACAATAATTAGGAGGGAATGGATAGATTTCAATTAAAGTTTATGTTTTAGATTAACTAATAGCATAAGAAATCGACTTGAACAAGTAATTGAATGGAATGGAAAAAAGGCTGACTATTAGAATCTTTTTTTTTTTTTTTTTTATGATGAGTTATGTCTTTTATTAAAATATTATTTAGATAGATCAAAAATTATAAGTTTTTTACTTATAATAAAAAAATTCCAGATCTTTCTTATACCTACTGTAATATAAATTTGTAATTTAAATTATTATAATAAAATATATATCAATTTAATTTTTTTATTTAAGTAACAATATTTAAAAAAATATTTATATTTAATTAAAAAAAATATTGATTTTTATTATTGCTTTTTCTTTTAAATTATATTTTTTTACAATTATTGTTTTATTTAATCAATAAATAGTTTTAAAAAAATTTTTTTTTAATTATTTTTAAAATAGATATTATTTTAACTTGTTATTAAATTAATATATAACTTAAATCTTGTATTGATTATTTTATCTCTAGAAAAAAATAAAATAAAAATAAAAAAGATCTTTCTTATCTATTTATAATATAATTTCAACTTTATCTAACATTTTTTTAACTAAAAACCATTTTATAAAAGACTGTTAATATAATAACAATATTATATATTTAATATTTATTTGTATAAAAAAAATCTTTTAATTAGTATTAAACCAATATTTGAATTAAAATAATGATTTTAAAATTGTAAAAGAAGATATTTTTTTTATTTTTATATTTTAAACTTAAGACCTTAATATAAACTATAAAATTCCAAAAATACAATATAATAAATAATGTAATATCTAAAAGTTAGATAAATGCTTTGAAAGCAGAAAATAGCATAAGTTTTTAACTAATATCTATGTTATAATATATAACCATGTAAAGACCCAAACACACAATTTACAAGCACTTTATAACTAAGCAATGAAGCAATGAATATCTAATAACATGTCTTTGAACCAGGAAAATACGTGTCAAGACGTATCAGATATGAGATGTTCAACCACTGTGATAGCCAATTATACTCAACAGTTTGATAAAAAAATTGATTGGTTGATAACAAAATTTTTACCTATCTAACTCTATTTCTTTAATATTACTCACCGAGGAATGGCCGAGTTGGATTTGCAATCTCAAACGTTTCAAACGACTCAAGTTGAAAAATCTCAACAAGAATCAAAAGATTGGCATGAAATATTGGTCGAATTCTTTTCAAAAGTAACTGACCAGTTTTTTTGAAAGAGTATATTGAGAAATTTCGACTCGTATTTATGAATAAAATGGTCCTAGATCGGAATGTTAGAAACCAATCAAACATTCAAACTGGAATTAATCGTCTTTTCGTCTGGTTGCGAAAAACAATTATTGACGCACATTGAATGGTTGTTACAGGAGTTGACAGTAATTTATTCTTTCTCATTTCAATTTTTACTAAATATTGTTAATTCGCGAATAACAATGAACTTCTATTTAAGTCTTGGAGATCAAGAAACGAACTCAATAATTTGTCACTATCTGCAAAAAGAAAAAAGGGACCAGATGATGAATCTTCATGTTTGTGTTTCTAAACATTTGAAGTATTGTCTTGTTCGAAAAAATTGTTTTGAACCAATTATCTCCAACGTGATTCTGAGCCCATTCCAAATGGACGATAATGTGACAAGATTGAAGAAGAGGAATTCGAAAAGGTCAGCGAACTAAATACTGAAGATTTTTTTGAAGAACTTCTTGAACCCGGCGAACTGACACATTTATAATAGGATTATTATGGGTAAGTTTTATGGTTACTTCTTTGGCTGTAATCATATTATAAGTTGAACAAGCCTACCTATATGATGACACTCTTTTGCACCAAGCTTTCTAGGCCTTCTGAGTATAAGACATATAATAAGATTACTACTTTCTTTAAGTCAGTTTATATAATCATATATAGTAGACTTTAAAAAACCTGTCGTATATATGATTTCAACAGGTTTTTTGATTCCATTGTCCCATAAATGACTTACGAATAACCTTTGTACAGCAAGATCCATTTCCAGCAAGTCAGTACTAGTACAAAATAATACTTACGGTTCAAATGCAATCAGTAACTATATATACATATACGTTTGTTCATATAATGTTACAAAAAAAAAATCTGTTTATTTTAATTCAGAATTGAGTCATCATTATATTTTTTGTACAATGAATCAAAATTCTAAATCTTTTTCACACCTACTGTATATAAATAATTTATTTAAATTAATTGATATTATTTATCTTTTAATATATTCAACTATATGATATATTATCTTCAAAAAAGAAAATATATATTTTAGATAAAATTATTTGCAAGAAATAAAAAACTTATTATTAGTTTAAATCATTCTAATCTAATAATTCAATTTTTTATTACAAGTAATAAAAAAATTAATTATTACTTAAAGATAATTTAAAATATTTAAATATTTTAATATTTTTTATTTAAAATCTTAAAAATACTTACTTATTTGTTACTATTTATAGCTTTAGATTTTTATCTTCTTTTAAGCAAATATTATATTAAAATAATTTCAAATTAGAATATTTTGTTTTTTAAAAAATTTATTAAATCAATTTTTAATTTAATATAATATACTATACTATAATTGGAACAAAAACAAAAGACATGATTAAAAAAGTGACAAGCAGAATGACAAAAACACTACAAAAGATATGAACACAAAAATATGAACATTTTC